CCGGAAGACGGTTTTCGGAAAATGACTGAACTCCCCAGATCACTGATCTTGACTTCTGGATTCACTGATTTACCCTTCTTCCCCCATCCTCTTCCTATTCCTCCTTCTTATCCTCCTCCTCCCCCCTCTTTCTCCTCCCACAGATTCGTCCTCCTCATTTTCCTCCTCCTATACCTACATTTCTCCACCTCTGCCGTTTCCTTCTGCTTCTTCTTCTTCGTTCCAACGGTAGCGGTCACACCTCCCCGAACCGTTCCCAATTGCCCAAGATAGCCCCAAACATTTCGTCATGTTGTTGTTGGTGGATGTTTTTTTTGTAATGGGTGTTTGACAGCAATTGGCGAACAAGCGCTCACGGAAGCAGCGTGCTTTCCGCAACGAGAAGATCACACATGCAAGCAATTCCAAAGAAATCATTGAATCATTTTGCACGAACTTAGGAAAATACTACGTGCTATTTAGGGCTCCTGGTTCTTGGGTTCGCGCAGCCCGCTACAATGTGGTAACCGGCCTCTGCAAGCACACTTACTTGAAACCGAACAGCAGCATTATGGAGCATCAATGACAGCATAACGCAATATGCTTTCCAACAATGTTCCAACGGACATGATATACCCTCAATTGCATTATGTTTGCATGCGCTTTGTAGGTCGACGCTCTCTCTCCGTCACGGGGAAACAAGTAAATCCCACTACACGCAATTCCATACCACTTAAAATCACGATTCCGACATCAACAAATCCTCGCATCAGTACGTGCGGGATTCAATTCCCCATGTTGGGTTTGCGCATGCGCAATCATGTTATCATCGATTTCGAAAGCATCGAAGTGTAAATTTGTGAAAGTGAGCACGGTTACAGAAAACATAACTCCGAACATAGAACTCACAGAACTTAGCCATATCCCATAAAATCACGATATCAACAACAAAACATCATCAAATCAGTCCCCGCGATATTCCATTCCCCATCTTGGGTTTGCGCATGCGCACAATCACCGATTTCGGAAACATCGAAATGTGAATGTAAGAAGTTTAAAGCATGAAGTGCTTCTGCGTACAACATAGATATACAATTCACCAAGCTAAAACATGCGAAAAAAATATGGTTCCGACCATGGAAGTATATGAATCCAAACAGCATGTTACAAACATTTACCTCCGAACATGGAAATCACAGAAAGCATGTAAGCGAGACCGCATAAATCTTGAAGCAAAAATCATAACAAAAATCTGGAAGCCAAGTAGCAGAAATTCTGGCTACTTACGGGCTACGTACAAGTTACTTACGGGATATTTTTAAATGAATATAAGTTACTTGTGTCTACTTACTAAGTAGGCCGCAAGCTCCATAAATATGTATAAGTAGCATACGTACTTATAAGTAGCCCCGCCGCGCCCAGTATTCCAGATCGGGCCCCAAGGTTCTCTTAGGGCTTCGGGTTAACGACTTTGGCGTCCCAAATATTTTGGGCGTCCTGTTCAGCGCGCGCGCTGCTTTATATATCAAGCTTGCAAATGCATGCCCATACATGGCGTTACTTGCGTAACTGCAGTTACGTGGCACTTACGCCACTTACATAAGTAGCCCGTAAGTTACTTACGCTACTTATATAAGTAGGCCGTAAGTACTTATAAGTAGGCCAAAGTACTTATAAGTACTTACGCTACTTATAAGTAGGCTGCCCCTACTTATAAGTAGCTCCTAAGTAACTTAGCTAAATATGAGCTACTTACACTACTTATGAGCTACTTACGAGCTACTTACACTACTTATGAGCTACTTACGAGCGACTTAGGAGCTACTTATAATTGGCGTAACTGCATAAGTACTTATAAGTACCCCCGCCGCGCGCAGTTGCGGAGGGGGGAGGGGGGAGGGGGAGGGGGCAAGCTAGGTGCGCTCGCGTCATATCTGACGTCCTGCCCCTCCCTCCCATCCCTTACCATGGCGCTGATTTTTCTCTATCCGCGGACGCGTGTCGTAGCGGACCTGTGGCTCCGCGCGCGCGTGCGTAGTGGGTGGTGGTGCACGTGCGTGCGTGCGTGCGTGCGTGTGTGCGTGGTTGTGGTGGTGCTGGTGCTGGTGCTGGTGCTGGTGCTGGTGCTGGTGCTGGTGCTGGTGCTGGTGCTGGTGCTGTGGTGCTGGTGGGTGGTGGTGGTGGTGGTGGTGGTGGTGGTGGTGGTGGTGGGTGGGGCGGCGCGGTGGTGGCGGGCGGATGGGCGCGCGAGAAAGAGGCCCGCGCTGGGGCGAGAACGCCATCCTGAACGACGGAGGCCAAACACCGATCCGAAAATGAGGCCCACGCTGCAGCGGGAGCACGATTCGGAACGACTCGGGAGCAGAAATGAGGCCGGCGCCTCAGCGAGAGCATTATTAAAAAAACGCAGGCGAAAACCCGTTTCCCGGGAATCCTGTGTGTAAAAAAACAATACGCGGGGGGCGTTCGGCCCGAAAATGACGCCGGCGCCTCAGCGAGAGTCGTTTCCCGGGATTTCCCGGGCATCCTGTGTGTAAAAAAACAATACGCGGAGAATGCGCGGCCATCACCCGGACGCCATCAGGGGAAGAAGGAGAGTATTTTTATATTGAGTAATTGTGGAGGAGGGGGGAGGGATGGCAGGAGGGGGGAGGGGCAAACTAGGTGCGCTCGCGTCATATCTGGCATCCTACCCCCCCTCCCATCCCTTACCATGGCGCAGATCCCCTCTCTACTCGCACAGTCGGATGTCGAGCAGGGCAATGCAGATCCCGAAAGGGTACGTGATGCATTGTAGAGCACGGCGTGCGTAGAAGAGCACCGCAAAGCGTAGTATCAACCTAGCATTGCATTGCATGCCGTGGCATGGCACGGGAAATGACGCCAGCGCTGCAGCGGGAGCACGAGTCGAAACGAGCGGAAACGCGGAAATGAGGCCAGCGCTGCAGCGGGAACACGATTCGGAACGAGCGGCAGTGCACGCCGGAATCGGCCCGGGAGGCTTCCCGGGCGCCAGAAGCAGAAATTCAGCATTTGAAAAGAAAAATGTGTATTGGAATGGCCTTTTCTCGGCGCCGCCTCGGAACTCGATTTTCCGGCGCCGGCCGGAACCGGCTCCGGACCTGGCCCGGGCGCTGGCCCGGGCGCGGGCTCAGGCGTCCGGCCCGAGCGCCGGCTCGGGCGCCGGCCCGGGCGTCGGAATCGGCCCGGGAGGAAATTCAGCATTTTCAAAAGAAGAATGTGTATTGGAATGGCCTTTCTTCGGCGCCGCCTCGGAACTCGATTTTCCGGCGGCGGCCGAAACCAGCTCCGGACCTGGCCCGGGCGCCGGCCCGGGCGCCGGCTCGGGAGCACGATTCGGGACGAGTGGGGCCCGAAAATGAAGCTGGCGCCGCAGCGAGAGCAGCATTTGGGAAACAAATGCAGGCGAAAACCCAACTCCGGAGAAACCTGTGTGTAAAAAACAATACGCGGGGGGGGGTCGGCTACTCCCATTCCGTCATCAGGGGGAGAAGGAAAGTAGTATTCATATTGAGTAATTGGAGGGGAGGGGAGAGGGAGAGCAGGAGGAGGAGAGGAGGAGGAGGAGGAGGAGGAGAGAGGAGGAGGAGGAGGAGGAGGAGGAGGAAGAGGAGGAGGACGAGGGAAGAGGGCTCCCCCTCTCTCTCTACCTCTCTCGCTGCCCGCCGCAGGCGGCCAGGGCACCCGCTGCGGCGCCGGCGGGGCTGCGCTCGTCTGCCCAGGCGCCCGCACCGCACCGCTCGGCCAGCGTCGGCCGCGAGGGGCCTCCTCCCTCCCTGGGCTCGCTCAGCTCAAGACGTCTCCACATGGTCCTCCTCCTCCTCCTCCTCCTCCTCCTCCCCCCTCCTCCTCCTGCTCCTCCTCCTGCTCCTCCTCTCCTCCTCCTCCTCCTGCTCCTCCTCCTCCTCCTCCTCCTTCTCCTCCTCCTCCTCCTTCTCCTGCTCCTCCTGCTCCTCCTTCTCCTCCTCCCTCCTCCTCCTGCTCCTCCTGCTCCTCCTGCTCCTCCTGCTCCTCCTGCTCCCTCCTCCTCCTCCTCCTCCTCCTCCTCCTCCTCCTCCTCCTCCTCCTCCTCCTCCTCCTTTCTCCCCCTCCCCGAATCCGCGACCCTGGCACTGGTCCATCTTTGGAACAGGTGGCCGCCGGGGCCGGGCGTGTCGGCCGACCGCCCGGCCCGCGCAGTGAGGGGCGGGTGCCCACCTGGGAGCTGCCCTTTCCGGTACTTCCAGGGGCAGGACCACAGTCCACCTGGGTACAGTGGGACCCATGCCAAGAAACACCCTGTTTGCCTCCCGGGCGCCCTGGGTATCTTGGGTTTTAACGGTTTTGCTATGGAAAGCGTGGCGTGCCTGCACCTCAAAATGCAGTGGACGGTGAAGGAAGGTTTCTTGTGATCGAGCTCCTACTGTACGTCAGCACTTCGCCGACATGGCCAACCAGGCCTTCCTCCTTTCCTCCTCCGTTATAATTTGTTGTGTTTTGTGGTGCCATAATTTATGGTGTGTCTTGCAGATCCGATGCATGCTTGTATGTCTACAGGAGGCCATGGCCTCCCCCACCTGGTCTTGATAGGCCCGGACAACTGTCCGCTGTGGTGGTTCGCTCGTTCGTTCGTTCGTTCGCTCGCTCCTCCCTGATCATGATACGGTGGTGACCCATGCCTAGAAACACCCTGCTTGCCTCCAGGGTGGCCTGGGTTTCTTGGGTTTCGATGGCCCTGCGATGGAAATCGTGACGTGCCCACGCCGAAAGTCGATCGACGCCCAGGGGTCTCAGGGTTGGGTTTCATGTGGAAGGTTTCTTGTGCTCGAGCTCCTGATGTACGTTCCAAGATCCCCCCCAGGCTCTCAGGACTTCCTAGAGATCTCCTGGCGCCCCGCACGGGCTGCAGGAACGAGGGCCGCCGGGTACCTGTCGGGCAACCCTGGGGCGCATCCTGAGCCAGCCCTGGATACCATGACGCCCTTCTCGCTCCATCCCCTCCCTCGCCGTCGCTGTGGCCGAGGCCGACCTCGCGCCCCTCCCGGCGCGCCCAGCGGGCCCTGCTCGTGCGCCCCGAGCCGCGCTGCCAGAGGGGACCGGCGCGGGTGCCAGGCCAGCCCGGTGGGGACGGCGCGCGGCGATGGTGCCGGCGCAGGGCGCGCCCGCCGCGCAGGCGGGGCCCCGCCGTGGCGGCGCGGAGGGTGCAGTGGTCCCGGGTCCGCCGTGCGCTCTGGGCGATGTCCGAGGCAGGAATTTATCGGGGGCGGCAAAGAGGGGGGTGATGACTAGGGGGGGTGGATATCATAGCGGGGGTCATGATATTTCCCCAGATTCCACGGCACCTCTTCTTATTTCATTACGTCCCTGGCCCCCCCGCTGGGCCGCGCACATGCCGCCGGTCATGATTTGCACCCCCCCCTCTTGGACCCCCCCCTCTTGGCCGCTCCCGAATCTATACATGACCACCGCCTGGAGGATCAGTTTTCGGGCACCTCGGCAGGCGGTGGGTATGGACATCTTCGGGCCCCCGGGGGCCAAAATATGTATCCACATCCACCGCCCGCCGGGGCACCACGACGTCGGTTCCCAGGTGGTGGATGTGGATACATCTCCGCCTCGCAAGATGTTTCGAGTAGGGGATCGGCTGCAGAATTGGTGTACCCCAGATTTTCTTTTCGCGCCGAACCCATCAGAGAAAAACATAGAGCATCTTCTGGGCCTCCTGGATGGGGTCTGAGTAGATGGGGTCGGAGGATCGCGCCGCATCGCCGATGCATCGGCGATGCGGCTCGATGTGGGGCCCACTTTCTCCACGCCGACGTCGCCGATGCATCGCCGATGCATCGGAGATGTGGCGCGATCCTCCGACCACATCTACTCGGACCCAATCTAGGAGGCCTCTAGAATAGTCAGTAGATGGACGGAGCATAGGTACGTTTCGTAGATTCGGCGGGGAGAACCAATTTTGGAGCAAATCCCCTGCTCGAAGGTTCACTGCCCACCGAGCCACCCCAATCTCAATCCGAAGGCTCCAAGTTACCCTCCACTCCCAGTTGGGGGGGAGCGTCGGGAACATGGACAAAACTAGGGGGCCACATGCGAACCATACCCATACCCCCCTCGGAAATCGTGGGGGGTAGGGGTAGGGTTCGCATGCGGCCCCCTGAAACACACACACACACATGGAGCCCGTAACCCCCACCCCACGCGAAATTTGGATCTTCGGGTTGGGTTGCGGTGGTCTGGTAGGCAGTCAGATGTCCGCCCTACTTTTCAAGCTCCTTGGATGACGATGCCCGCCCCGCTTTGCCGACGCTGCTTCCGCTTTTTGTTTTGTTTGCGAAGATACCCACCCTACTTTTCTGAGGCGGAAGTTTCCGCCCTATTTTTTCAAATCGTTTGGGTGCACTTCATTTTTAGTCGAAAGTTCGACCAAAGTATGACGGATCTGGAGTCAGAGTCTATGGAGGAACAGATGCCGATACCGCTGCTCATCCTGGAGATCCCTCGTCGCCACGACCTCCCGGGGCCATTAGAGAGCAGCTCATGGTGAAGAGCTGCTCCGAAGGGAAGCCTCGGGGTCTAGTGCCAGCTTTTCCTCCAGGACATCCTTTCCCGCGTGCAGGAGAAGTCCGGGACCCGAAGCAGCAGCAGTGACACGCCGCCGTGGAGAATCCGTCAGCGTGGCACCGTGGAAGACGCCCCGGGCCCTCGGGCGAGAGCGAGGGAGCGACACGCCGACAGGCTGCCAACGGCAGCGTGTCACTGATGCTTTCTCCCTCCCGAGGGAGGGGGGGCGGGAGGCGGCCTTCCAAGGAGGCGGCCCCGTGAAGCAGCGAGGGGCATCCTAGACGCCCCCTCCCCGCGCCCCGGAGCCCACCAGAGGGCCGCGGGGGGGGGGGGGGGGCGGGGCGCGGCCTTCCCCAGGGAGGTGAGACAGGGGCGACGAGGACGACGACGACGACGACGACGACGACGACGACGACGACGACGACGGCGACGGCGACGACGACGACGACGTCCACGATGACGACGACGATGACAATGAAAACGGCGATGACTACGACGTCGGCTACGACGCTGACGATGACGACGACGACGACGACGACGACGACGAAAGCGACGACAACGACGACGACGACGACGACGACGACGACGACGACGACGACGACGACGACGACGAAGGCGACGACATACGAAAGGGAGAATGAGAGGGGGAGACCGCTGCCATCGCGAGCGCCGCCGCAATCGCGTTGCCGTGCCTCTTGGGAGTCTTCTTGGGGCCCTTTTGGATCCCTTTTAGGGCCCTGTTGGGGTTCTCTTGGGTCGGCTCGGGGCCCTTTTGGGCCGTCGTGGGGCGTCTTGGAGGCCTTTGGCCGTCGTGGGGCTCTCCTGGCGGCGTCTTGGGGCCCTCTTGGGTGCCTCTTTGGGCGCTCTTGGGCTCTTGGGGCTCTCTTGGGCCCGTCTTGGAGCCCTCTTGGGCTGTCTTGGGACTCTCTTGGATCGTTTTCGGGCTTTTTGGGGGGCCTCTTGGGCTTTCTTGGAGCGATCTTTGGAGCCTCGTGGGCTGGTTCGGGCGGATGTTGGCCCGAAAAAGGGAGAACCAGGAAAACGTTTGAAAACCATGCAAAAATCAATTACATTTCCCTCTTGGGGCCCTCTTGGGAAGCCTCTTGGAGGCCTCTTGGGGTGTCTCAAAGCCCCCATGGACGGTCTTGGGCGGTCTTGGGGTCTCTTGGAGCGCTCTTGGGCTGTCTTGGAGCGCTCGTGGACCCCTCTTGAGAGTATTTCGGGCCGTCTGGGGCGCCTCTGGGACCGCCCGAAAATCTCGGGGAAGCGCGAAACTCGTTGGGGGGGGGGTGCTCCATCCAGGGTCTGTCCGGGGTCCCCTGCCCCATAAAAGTATATACGTATGAATATATTTGTGTGTGGACGCTCGATTTTGAAATCTTTCCGAAACCGAAGGTTTCCGACTGATTTCGGCATGCGCGCGCGACGACGCGCGCGCCTGCATGGCGTTTCATTGTTCGCCGTGTTTTTTTGAACAAAGTTGATACTTGGTCAACGAGTGCGCGCGTATATTTTATGTTGCAGATGCAGAGGATGGCGGGGGGGCCGATGCCGTCCTGGCTGGAATGCTGCGAGTTCATATTTAGAATGACGATGGGGCAGAGTCGCATGTAAATTGCAATGCGAAAAGGGTGCCGGTGACCCCTGGGGGGAGGGGGGGGAGTCTAACCCCCACCCGCCCGCACCTTGGTTTGCAAAACCCATGCGGGAGCGATTGCGATGAGTGCTGGGTGTTGGCTGGTGCATCTCTGCGGCCGCGCTGGCCCGCGCATGCTCGCGCGCGCAACGGCCAGCTAGTTTGGCGCGGCCGACGCGAACGCGGTCGCGCTGACCGCTCGGCACATCCCAGCGGGCACTTCAGTGCGAGTCGGCGACTTGGGCGGGCGCGGTACCATGGCAACGTCGACAACGGTAGACGCGATGATGACAGTAGCGATGCTGGCGACGATGCTGACAGCGACGACAAGGGGAACCAGTGACGACGATGACGGCGTCCTCGCGTCGGTGATGAAGGTATTGGAAGAATTTCGAATGCGCGCGCGGCAGACGCGCGAGAGTGGCTCGCATGGTCTCATTCGACACGGATCGTGCCACCCCAACGCGCGCGCAATGCCGTTCGAACGATTTCGACATGCGCGCGTGCGAAGCCCGTTCGGTAGCATGTTATGAACATGTTGGAAAACTTATGGTTGTCTTAAGAAATCGTAAGAGCGCGCGCCCACGCTTGCGTTGAACATCCCTGCAGCGAAACTTTTTTGTATTTTTACGACGCTCGATTTTGAAAACCTCCCGAAACCGAGAGTTTTTTTAATGATTTCGGCATGCGCGCTCGACGACGCGCGCGCGTGCACTTCGTCCAATGTTTGCAGAGGGTTCTCGCGACGGCACGCGCGCAAGGGCGTCCGACATGCGCGCGCGAAGCCTGTTTGGTAATGCTTTGGGGGGAAATCTTGAAACACCGATGGTTTTTTTCAAGAGCGCGCATGTTTTTTGTTGTTGTTTTTTTGTGTGTTAATCCGTGTTGCGCGACCGTTTTTGGACACTCGATTTTGAAACCGCCGGTTTTTTAAGGATTTCGGCATGCGCGCGCGACGACGCGCGCGTGTGTACTTCTTTTTTATTTTTCGGCGAGAGATGTTTGAACACTTCTTGTTTTTGATGAAAGAGTGCGCGCGCATAGTATTTGTTGCAAAGGATGGCGGGGGGGGCGATACCGGATTGGCTGGGATACTATGAATTCACAGGTCGGATGGACAGTGGGTCAGAACCTCAAGCCCTTCTGGCCCAAGCATCTGCTGAGCCAGTTCACCTTGTGCTGTTACCATTTGTGTGCTGGCTTGAGAGCCTCCTTCTGGAGGTTAAAGCAAGGTCTCACGATTCTTTCACCACCTCAGCCATGGCGCCGGCGCCCAGTGCTGTGGCTCCTTGGAGGCGCTCTGCAGCTGCTCCTGCTGACGACGACGCCGCTTGGTCCGCTTTCTCGGCTAACGGGAAGACGTGGACATGCGGCAGTTGCGGCTGCAAGCGCAACAAAAGGTCGTGGTGGTTCTGCAAGCATTGCAAGAAGTACCGTGCTGCACCCGACCCCGACACGTATGCCCCCCCCTCGTGGGGAGGCAGTTGGCACTCGAGCGGGGCGGGAGGACACAGCGGCTGGCCTGGCCTTCCGCTACGTTCTGGACCTCAGTTCGACTCGAATGCAGGTCGTCTCGGAGGTGGAGGCGGTGCTGGTCAAGGCTGGGGTGCGCCACAGCCTGTGGATCACGGCAACACCTCCATTCCCGAGTTGGAGAATTTGGTGGATTTGCTCACGAAGTGCGGCGACACGATGGGGGCGAGGAAGCATCAGTCCATCCTGGACCAGAAGCGCCGTGCTGCTGCAGCCCCAGCTGTTCCGCTGCAGGCCAAGGTCAACAAGGCTTTCCACGATCTTCGCCAGCTTCGTGAGCGCACCGACAAGGCCTGCAATGTCTACGAAAAGATGGAGGCTGAGTTGGCTGTGCAGCGGAGCCGAATTCAGACCCTCACGAACGAGCTCAAGCAGGCTGAAGAGGTGCACACGGCCCTGGTGGAGCAGCTGCACAAAGAAGTCGCTCCCCCCTC